CACAACTGGTTAATGACTCAGCCATTTTAGATTTGTGTGCTCCTTACATGCATGTTGATGTCAGCTCTCTATGGTCAAGCTGAAGAATGACTGCACTTGTCTGCTTTGACTGTTCTCACACTCTGCTTTGATCCTCATTAGTTGCTGGCCCAGTATTTTGGTCGCACCCTTTGCCTCCAAACCAAACACTGTCCACCTCAACAAAGTCCTTAAGGCCAGGTCATGAACAAGGAAACCTTTTTAGAAACACAACCGGTTGGGTTTGCTTAAAAACAAGTCTGTACAGCCTGTACAACTTTCCCTAATGTAGAAGGAAATGACACAGAATGTACACAGGTGGAACAAACTTTTTTTTTTAAACAGTATGAGCTTTGTTTACTCCTAGTTACATTTTCAAGAGTTCCGCCATAGTGAAGATTCAATTTCAGAAACGTCACCCTTTTTGGTTTTGTGTGTGTGTGCCCATATGCATGCTCATATGTGCAGCTGCATTTTATTGTGTGTGTGCGCTTTCCGTCGTCTTGACTCCACAAATGTGTCGCTTTTATTGTTGCGCAGAGAGAACAGAAGGAAAAGCCTGAGCCCTCATGGACACGGGGCACATATATATTTAATCTGCTCAATTTTACATACTGTTTAAATGGGTCCTGCATTTTTAATGACCCACTCTTTCCCACTGACACGGCAGCAACCATTATCCTGGCATTGCTATTATGTTGCTTGTATTGTGTGGTTTATGCTTGTTGCCAGCCTTTTTTCACCGTATTCCCTTTCCTTGTGATGTTAAAAGAGGGGATTTGAGTAAAACTGAACAGATATTAGAGCAGCGACGTCAGCCATCCTCCACCCTCACAGCATTAGGGTGCAGTTTTATGGCTACGGACACTTTGCAAGCAGGAATGGCATTAAAGATGCAGAAGGGTTGAGCCTCGGTGGTCACTGATCAGTGGTACTTTATAGTGGAATTAAAATGAAAAATGGACCTCCTGCAAAGTGTGTTTGTACCAGGATAATTGTGCATATAATAATAACACAGGACAGGCATTACATGGAGATAGATAACTTTCTGGTTTGAAAGGATTTAAACAAAACCCTAATACATTTTACATGTCAGAATTACCATAATTCAATTTGAACTTGTCACATGACCGCGTGTGACATTATTAACATTATTTACATGTGGCTGGTTCATCTGTCATGGGACATATAGCGCAGGCTGTAGGCTGGATTTGGATCCTGAAAGATGTTGTTGGAGTTGATTGTTGTTTGTCTTTAGTACATTCACGTCACATTCAAGGTAAACGCTTTGTGATTAGGCGGTTAGATTGAAAAGCAGCGAGACTCATGAAGAACAAGACTGAGAAACCTAATGTTTAGCTGTTTGTGGCTTCGTCTTACAACCGGAGAGCAGGCCTGCATATAAGAGGAACATCTGCAATGTGCTATAACATTGTTTAATATGATCATTTGACCTGTGATACATAATAACAAATATGTAACGCTAAGCCAATCTCTCCAATGGGGTACCTTTAGGTGAAGGCATGCTCTTATTCTTGTATCAACATAACTTTCATTTCTATCGTATTCATGATGAGACTCAGCTTATGCCTTTTATATTTCAAGTTTCAAGGCTTTATTGTCATTTGCACCTTAGCTACAGTGCAGATATAGCAATGAAACACTTAAGTCACAGGCTCCTCCAACAGTGCAGCATATATATAGGACATAGAACAAATAAGATATGCAAGTAAATACAAATAAAATAGACATAGTGCAGGAAGAGTCTTTATACATAAGTAAATGGAATATGATATGACAGATACATAATTTGTGAGATGCAAACAGATGAATATTTAAGGATGTTTTTTAATAAGTGCCAGTGTTTAATAGTCTTATGGCCTGTGGAATGAAACTGGATGGACTGAGATATTTCCAAAACTCTTCAGTTTTTCAGTTTTTGGCATTCATCTTTAATTGCCTAGCAGATATTTTCAGTCAATTGTCTGCATGCTTTCATCCTCCTCCAGAGAACTACTTATCCCCAGACTTTTCCTCGCAGCATTGTAAGGTTGACATTTATTTATTTTGTCAAATACAGCTAAGACTGATGGGAGTATCATTAGTGTTGTGTCAGGTGTGGACATATAAACTTCACACAGTATCTTTCATATCTTTCATGTTCCTCCCATATTTGCATTGAATCGTCTCTATTCTTTTACTTAGCTATTATCTTTTTCATTCCTTTGCACTTGCCCTGTACATTGTCAGTAGCAACAAGAGGTTTGCAAGGACTTATGCCAGGAACTGCATTATATTGTACCCGCTGTGAGTGCATTTGGCCTGGAGTGTTAGCTAAATCTAAAAGGACTATAGCCTATTCCATTTGTTCTAACTGACTGAATTGTAACTTTGGTTGTACTTTGGTTATAGTACTTATATGCCAACTCATAACTGCACATATAAAGATAAAATATGAAGTTGGAGGACCTTGACAATGGGATGAAATGGAAAGTAAATGAGAACATTATCGACGTGGGAGTCTAATGGTCTCTCTGTGGTCATATATCTTATGCCTCTTGGGTCATTTGAGTCTATTTTCCCTCCTACCTACTTTTTACGGCTGCTTCTCTCACACAAATCCCCTCATCCATATGGGAACGATCTGAAAATAGCTGAACAATTTTTGCCATTAATACACTATAGGAACTAGGTGCTCTGCAGTAGCTCCACAGTAAAACTGCTGTTGAAATTCCATCGACAGGTGAGGCTGCAAGGACAAGAGGGATGAGTGTTTGCCAAATATGTTTGTTCACTCCAGCCGAAGGCTAAAGAGTGATATCTTTCACCTTTTCTGTACCATCAACAAACATTTCCTCCACCAAAAGCAGAGGATGACCCAGTGCCTCAGGCTGAGGTCGCTCTAGCCTCGAAGTTTCTTACCTAACTTTATTTTACCGGCCCTTCACACAGAGCTGCAGCTGGTAAACAGAACCTAAGTGTAGATAACAAGAGTTGTCAGGTTGAAATTCAAGTCTGATTAAGTCCTATTCCTTCATCAAAGCTAGCCAGCAGGCTCATTCTTTGTATAATAATGAAAAAACATGACGTTTTATGTGGATAACGTTGGATTTAATCTATTATATTTACTTCCCTCTGCTGAAAATCATAAATTCTGAGTCGGACCAGCTATTATTAACCACCACTGGTATTTTAAATTAAATTACTATGCTGACGTTGTCGAGTACTGTATATATGCAAGGTTGTTGCTCCTCCATCTATATGGACGTCCTCTCCCCCCCGACTGGAGGTCCGCCCGGTCTCCCCTCGGGCGTGTGGTGCGACCTCGCGCTCCCTGCATGGCAGCGATGCTGTGAAATGTCACTTTGCCGTTGCTCACAGAGGCGGGGAGGCTGCTGCAGGGTCTGATCCATCGTGGTGGGAAACAAATGGAACAAGAGCCTAAAGGTCAGACCACCAGGCTCCTGAATACAGTTCAGTACTGCTGTATTCATTTTTAATGTGAGGGGAATATGTTCACATTACTTGTGATGTTGCTGGAGTATCTGTAAGTGGGAAAATAATGGCGGTGAAGGTCACAGAGCAGTAATGATGGTTTGCCTTCTCTTCATACTTGAATTTTGACTTTATCTGATTCTGAGCAGGCCTGTAGTCAACTTTTATGTAAAAAAAATTAGTTTTGTGATGTAATCTATTGCTTTCGACACACTTAAGGATGCAATGAGGCTCTTTTCTTTGGTCTGTCGGGTGTTCAGTCAAACGTTTGGATCCCATGTCAAATTTGATGGTTCACTATAAAATTTGGTAAATACAATCATTCATAGAAGATGGATCGTAGTAACTTTGGTGATACCCTTTTGGTATGTATTTTTGTTGGATCCTAATTAGCAGATTTTACAATGCTTAAACACTAAACCAAATTGGTTAACAACATAATCATTATACCTGCCAAACACCAAGAGTTATATCACTCCGAGAATGTTAGCATGCTGACGTTAGCATTTAGCTCAAACACTCGTTAAAAAGGCAGGATCATTTACGATCTTAAGTTTTAAGGCCATTGTTGCTAATAACTGTTAGGTGATTTGCGTTAATATGCATTTTTATCTCGGGTTGTTGCAGATGAGCTGTTTACATGATGTTGAAGTATGGCTTTATGTAGTAGTATTTTGGCAAAGTTATTAATTTACTGTTACTATTTCTTTGCTGTTCATTAGAAAATCTTGCTCTAGTGAAAAAGTTATATATTTCACGACAGAAGCTTATTCAAGGACTAATGTTTGTGCCTTCCAGAGCAAAAATCTCATGAGCTGGGAACTAGCGTAACCCCTGCACCAAAGGAAGACACAAGTATAACAAATCATTTACCATTCATACCCAAACTTTTCTAAGCGTAATTATTTATAAAGGCCAAATTACAGTGACATGAATAAATTACATATTGAAGATGTCCCAACATTCAGCAGAGCCATTTTTATTTATTTCATTATCACATGTACAACATAACATTCACCCAATGTACTCTCTTCGTGACTTTCCTTCCCAGTGTGAATAAGGACAATATTCATTGCACAACACTTCAGTTGTATGTGGTGAGTGATTAATAAGATTTTAATATTAAAGCACTTGTGGTTTAAGAACATTTGTGTCATCTCAGGCACAAGTTATTTTTATTTAGTCCAGATTTTAAACTTGTCATATGAAGTGAAACAGCAAAGTTAATCCCTGACATTTAGGAATAACTCGGAACAGTTGCGTGCATCATTTTGTGCTTCATTTACTTTGCCACTTAAAGAGAGAAAAGTTTGTCAAAACAGGAAACAACATAAAGCCCATCCCTTTTAAAGCTGGTTCCTGCAGGCTGATCTTTCCTATGTTTTTTTTTTTTTACTTTCAACCCCATACTCTTATATATATTTTTCTTTCCTTTGTATCATTTTCTTACCAGCCTTTTTGTGTCCATGACCATTTGTCCACTTGTTAAAGAAAGAGCGTTAAATAGCTTTGCCACAACAATGACCATCCCCAATGAGAAATATAACAAGGAAAGTTTTGCTAAAGATGGACAAACATTTCCTCAAAGAACTCCACAGGATAGAATAGTTTCTTCTTTTCATCACATCGTCCTTTATGCAGTGCAAAGACCTGACAAGAATTCACCAATAAATTAAGTTCATGTGCGGCATGGTTTTCAGTCTGTTGGTTAGACTCTGGTCCTACATGAGCACGCAGCTTTTGGCCCGGTCCTTTCTAATGGCGGGTGTTTGCTCAAGAATCTCAGTCCGAGGTGGCTGCTGGGAAACCCGCTTGAGTCCGAGGCGCGTGCCAGCACGCTTCATCTGGGGTTGATTGATACGGGACACGGAGGCAAGGGTGGTTACGTGGAAAACATCACGGACGCTGTTCTCTGAATACTTCGAGGTGCACTCTGTGTAGGCCACTGCGCCAATCTGCCTCGCCAAAGTGGTTCCCTAAAAACAGAGAAAGATATAAAATATGAGGTTGTTAGGACAACATGTAAACATGAAAATCAAAAGAAGCAAAGCAGATAATTTGCAATATTAGCATTCATTTCCAACTGTTTGTGGCATGAGACAAACGTATAATCAATATTTATTATCCTTATTAGCTCTGGTTTGGGTCTCCACCAACTTCTCCGAGAATTGCCTGGCTCTTTAGCTGCTAGTAGCTAACCTACAGTAGTTCTCTGTTTGTTACTCGATTTGGCACGTAGCATTTCCTCAGTCTTTGCCTGCTGCTCATCCTACTGTTTCGGAAAAAACGGTTGATTAGAAAACTGAGACTGAACCAAAAGTGTATCTCCCTGTAGGAAGACAACAAAAAGCTTAATGCCTGTAAAATACTACACCGCCATCAGGTCATAATGCTTTGTGGTTTCAATATCTAAAAGAGTCTCCTTTCACATTAGATTTAGTTATTTGATCCATTTTCATGTTTTTGCAGTTTTTAATTCAAACATTTATCCAGTCGTGTGCTTTGGTTTTTGTTTGTTTGTTGTCCAAAAGAGGGTGATTCACCCAAAGAGCTGCTGAGAGCTAGTACTTAGTGCAAATTGTATGTATGTGTGAGAGAGAAAGGGGGGGGGTCATGTGGTGGCAATGATGCTTTTTGCATTCTTAAATGTCCTTAAACCATGTTGAACCTCTGGCACACTGTTGAAAGTCTCTTGTTATCCAACAGGGTCAAAATGAAACATTTCCATTTGGTTTTTGAAAGCCATACTATGAGTGCTCCAATGCAGAAACGGTGGACTTTGAAACCCTCTTTAAAAAGTGTGTTTTTATTTTGTACTATTTGTAAATGCTGTTAGATCATCCCTACCTTATAATTTTGTGGATATCAGACCCTTGGTCTTGTGAAGTAAACACTTCCCTCCTAATAAAAGCCTAAGCTCAGAGAAGTATGATAGCTAGCTGGGGCATACACAAACTAAAGATCCTCTACACAGCTATGAAATATTTAAGGCCTATCTGTGTAACTGTAAAATTAAAGCGTAAATGCTCAACTTATTCCCAGTAGTGGTTATATCACTGTCTTAAATCTGCACTGGTTAAAATGGTATATATGGTGCTTTCATTTTGCTTAGCTGTCCTCCAAGAACTGTGTTTTGGTGTTTCATGTAGAAAGAAAGATTGTGTATACTTCTTTTAAATGTAAAAATAGCACTTTGACTCTGTTGCTTTCTCACTATCTCTTGAGTTTATTTCATTCTTTCTTTGTGGAGTGTGTCATCAATTGGATTCGTCGACTTCTTTGGCAGTGAAACATCAACACGTTGTGACAGTGTGGGTGTGCAGCCATCAGTGTTAGAGATGTTCCATATTGATGGAGTATCTAGCGGTCAGCTGTGATAATAATATCCTTATTCTATGAAAAACATGAAAGACTGTAGCTGTGCTTCCAGGGAGGTCGCCTTATCGTTGCATTAATGTGAACCTTCCAACACTTCAAGTCTGTGTTTGGACGCCTTTAAGCCGATTACAGCAGTAGTCACACAATGAGTGTGCGGTTTATTCTTGCGAATGCACTTTCCCTGGGGGATCAGCTGGTCAAGAGGCTGAAATGTAAAGGTCACAGTTTGTGGCTCTTTGGAGTGCAGCTTTTTGAATGCATCAAGAAAATTCTAAAGCTACATTTTCTTTTTACAAATCCAGCAATTTTCAACCTTTTTTCTATTTCTTGTACAATACTATTCAGCTAATGGACTAACAGTGCAGCCTCTGTAGGGTTTCACTGTTGATTGTTACTTTGTATTCATACATTTAGTCAAAAATCATGTCATTTAAATAAACACAAGACGTTGTTTTGACACATTAGGAGTGAACTGAAGTCATTGTTTGGGTTCTTTTGGGAAGATTTTTTGAAACTTAAAAAAAAAAAAGAAGATTTATTTGAGCAACCAGTGCCTTTATTTATTGAGAAAGAGGGCCTCATTACCATACAAGGGCCACCAGCTCTACCAATTCAGCCTTAAACGTCCTTTATGTAAGACTGTTCTGGAAATCTATAGTAAACATCCAGCCAAACAAGTTGAAAGTGGCCACAAAGGGTGGACTAGAAGAAAGAAAGAGTTTCAAAGTTCAAAATGGCTGCTGTTAAAATGTCAGGAAAACATTTGCCTCAGACAAAAGTTTCGGTTCATGTGGAGCTAAATCACTTTATCAAGAGAAAGTTTTCGACTAAATTTGATGCGATTACTGAAAGGAAAACGAGGGCAGTTATCTTTGCTTCGTCGGAGGTATGAGAAAACATTATTATGTTGACAAAAGGGTGCCAAGAAGTGTGAATTTACATTTACATGAAAATAGGCTATTAAAATGCATGCATGCCACTGTTCATCTCTCCAAGACACAAACAAAACAATTGTATTATCGCACATCCGGCTGTTTGTCTCTAGCTCTTTTATTCCCCTTGTTTTCTCCATTTCTATGAAAGTGATGATCTAAAGCAAATGTGATTTTCTCAATTCATTTTCAAAAGTTTTGTTTGTGTGCACAGGAGAATAAGAAGTTGATGTCATTTGTGTGGGATGATACTATTAAATGTGTGAATCAGTGTTACTATAGGCAAATGGAAATCGCTGCAGTGGAAAATTACAAAGGACTGTACCAACAATATATCATAGGTGTTTCAAAAATGATATTGATCAAATCTGTTAAAACCATACTATTCAGTTCTTCACACATACCAAAGACTGTCGCATTGTTACACTTTGGTAACAGAAGCTGTATGTCCAAGCTGGATTTGACAGTGTTGATGCCAACAGATAAAAACAGATGAGTGTCTGCACTCCTCACCTGTTCGTGGGTGACGGGGATGAGTCTGTGTTTGGAAAGCTCTCTCATGACATTGAGGTCTGTCCTCATGTCCAACTTGCAGCCAACCAGCACCACTTTGGCGTTTGGACAGAACTCCTGCGTCTCCCCCTGCCACTGTATATAAATAGACACATACATATGAGTGGAGCATTATGAATCAGACACAGGTTCAAATGAGGATATCGGAAAAGGTTTTCTTTCCATTATGCAGAAAACAATTTCCGACCCCCTCCGATACCCACAACACAACAATAACGATGTTCTGTTAGCAACAACTTGGATGCTCATGGTTATAAAAGCTAGAAGAAGAAAGAGAGAAAGACCTGACTCAAACCATCAAACACTTTCTCCTTATCGTTTTCTTTCTCTCTGAGATTCTTGTCATTATCTCCTCACACCATGGCACAGACACTTTGAGCATTGCTGCTCCATTTGTTCTCCTTTTACAAAGAGCCCTTTTCTCCCGATGCCTGTGTCTCTGCTGTTACAGGCTCCAGTGTGCGGTGCAGTTGTGCAGAGTGAGCTGTTGCCTTTCAATGGGCCGCTCCGCCGAACAGTGTGCAACTCGTGAATAGCAGCAATTTAAATCAGTCACAAAGGACCCATGGGAAGAGCAGCTTATTGTTTGTGTTAATATTCAGAATTGCTAAGAGTTTTGTCCGGGATAAAGAGCAGAATGAGAGCACTCAAAGTTTATAAAAAGACAATAATGGAGGCTGGTTATTTTCGGGTAACTTCGTCTTCAACAGACGTTAAGGGAGGCTTTTTTTAGACATTTATACCAGGAAGAAAACATTGCAGCTAACATCATTTAAAAGTTAAAGAAATGTATGGAATGTAAAATGTTGTTATGTGTTGAGCTTTTTGAAAGGTCGTTTCAATTATAGATGTTTTTAGTTGCTAGTTTAATATTCATAAAGTGGGTTGAGTTACACTCTTAGAGAATTTGTACTCATCATCTATTTTTGAAATAATTGGGTACATCAACCACCAGGTTCTTAAGCTCACTAAAAACTTCAACTGGTGTGTATGAGTCCTTTGTGCATCGTCCCTATGCTGTGCACAAATGTTGTTGATGTACTCTATTTATTGTCACTGACCCCAGGGTGCTTTATTCAGCTACACTGAAACAGTGGTTGTTAGAACCTATGATTACAATTATCCACCCTTTCATCATCAGCCAGCAGGTTTGTTTGTGTTTGTCATCCTCTGCTATTGTGCTTGAAGTGTTTGTACAGCTTCTGGACTTCATATGTACTAGTTGAAAATGCTGGTGATGGTTTCTCTTATCATAGCTTTCATAATCTTCAATAGTCTCTCAACAAATAACCTGATACTTCGATTCAAACAGGCAAGGGCGGCAGAAAGACGGAGAGGTGATATTAAGGATGACATGCAGCAATGTTGGCAGGCTGCTAGTCAGGAAGTTATGATGAAAATGTGAGAAAATGTTGCCAGCTGCAAAGTTGGAAGTGTTAAAAGAAGGTGATAGCCGGGTAGAGGCTGCGATAACATATGAGAGAGCGTAATGCTAGATGAGAAATCTTCTTACATTGGAGATTTGAGAAGAGATTGGTCTGAAGAGAACAAAGGGTATAAAATGAAAAGAGGAAGTGATAAGAGTCAGGGGGTATTTTTGAAGCTTAGCCATAGTGAGAAAAAATAGCCATCTTAGAGGAAAATGGAAGGGGCAGAAGAGGTTGTTAAGCTTTCCAAAAAAATGGCAGAAGAAATAAGATGTAGGCTTTCAATGTCAAAATAAATGGAAACAAGTCATGGTGGCACATTGCAATCCTTTGAATTGTCCCTAAACTTTTCATAGTGACCCTTCAACATGTCACTGTGGCATGCATTGTGAGATCAGTTTATTCACCGCTATTACTAAGGTCATCTAATGAGGTCAAAGTTCAAGTTAGTTCTCCAGTGGACCCCCTGTAGGTGTGAGAATTTGTCGAACATAAAAGATAAACGTTTTGGTTTTGTATTGATGATGTCATTGATGAGTGATCGTGCAGACTCCAGGAATGTCTGCGGACTGGGGAGGTTAAAAAATGTCAGTGAAAATGAACATTTATCAATAACTAAAAACGCTACGAGTTCCAAAGCAAATCCTTAAAAACGCTATGTGTGCCTCGCAGTAATTACTCAATAATTGGAAAGATTAAAATCTACATCAAAGTATCCTTTAATGCCGCTCTGATGTTTGCAGTCGTGATAAAAAGCAAATGTTCCTTGAAAACCGCCTCAGCTTCGTCAGGGAGAAATCAAACAGGACAAATTCACACTTCTGTTACTGCGTCACTGACCTTTTTGAGCACGCTGTCCAGTGTTTCTGGACGGCTGATGTCGAAGCAGATGAGGACAGCGTCTGAGTCGGGATACGCTAACGGACGCACGTTGTCATAGTAGGTTGAACCTGTAGGCGAAAAAAACACACAGAGATGACCAACGTTTCCAGGTGGATTATATGTTGTTTAGTTACTTTTTGATATCACAAAGTGAGTCATTGCAGAGCACCTTTGGCGCTAATAACTATGATTGAATGTAATTACCATGAACTAAAGCACTCTGCAGATGACAATGAGTGGGTGTGATTCATTGCTTTCGAACAGAGAGGCCTCGTCCAAAACCCCTGGTCTGTTCGTCCGACAGTCTTGAATAAGCCAACAGACAGACATGTGACAGTGATATAATGAATGGCTCAAACAAAGCGTCACCTGGCATTTCAGAATGCCATGTTTTTTTGTCGGGGGCCCGGGCTGAATTGAGCATTGTGACCTGGGCAAGGGGACACATTCCTGTCCATTAGGGACAACATTCCCTCTCCTTTTCCCCCCATTGTCTCCAACACTATGTGGTTTTGTCCCCGTGAGCAGGGCTTTGGCAACTTAACAAAAAATGTGTTTGACAGAAAAATTCCCAAAGAACACGAGTAAATGAGTGCTGCACAAACATAAAAACAATTCACACATTGAAGTTGTTTTGAAAAATACCCAACACTGAAATTCTTCAAACTGAAGGAGAGTCAGTATGTTGGTATATGTCAAAACAAGTTACAGATGTGTATGTAAATGTATTAAATCAAATGGACACTAACTCAAATAAATAATCCAAACTTGACTTTAAGCTTGTTGGATGAAACAGAGACATTTTTTGTGATCCAATTGTTGTGGATTTCATTTAATTTCCAGCTCCTCAAATGCCATTTAAATTATAAATATATCACATCACCGAAGCTAAAGATCTTCTAACTTATACTGCGCCTTTTATTTGTTCATGATATGGAAACAATTTTACAGTTTAGGTAATAGTTGTTGCTCCTTAATTACTTTGTGTTCACCTTCCAATGAGTTTATTTTAGTAAGACAACACAAACATTGAATTTGTTAAAAACCTGCCTTGTGTTGCATTCAGTTTTTAGATGTCGAATCAGGGAATCAAATGTAATCCTAATCAATGACATAGATGGCACAATTATTAAGGATTTTTCTTTTTACCTACCAAGTTATTTTGAATTGTAATTGCACAACAGCAACACACCTGGAGGGTAAAACACAGGTACAGTACGTGTGTCCAAAAAAGCAGCTATATTTACCAGAATTTGTGTCATTCTCTCAAAACCCTGCCCCTAAGCAGACCACGTGTTTGTGCATGTGTTGCTGTGGTCAGAAATGTCAAACTAAAGGCCACAACCATTTCCCCTGTCTCTCTGACTAATTATTGCTCCTGGGTTTCACACATACTCTATTCACACACACATGCACAGACACACACACATGATCTCTCTTTCTTTTTGGTGGTTAAGCTTTGTCTTGGTCCAAGTGTAACACAGAAGATGTGGATTATTCATTTGATAAAAAGAAGACTGGGCGAGGGGCTGTGTATCCGACGGTGCTCATAAACCACCCGTAGGTCTGCACAGTTTACACATGAGTGAACCCACAGATGTAGCTCAGCTTCACACCGTCAGCTCCACCTCTGCATCAGACGGCAGCTGTGAACAACTTAAAAAGTGTCAGCCTTCAGCTGATCCTCTGCAAGTCTAGAAAGTTATTGCCATTTTGAGAAAAGTTTTTGGATGTTACTAACAAGGTTTGTGCCGATGTTATTAGTGAAGGTTCATCCTTGAAGTCAGTGTTTCTGTCTTTGTGTTAAACAACCACCCACCTAAAACCATAAAAACTATATATTTATGAAATACTGCTGGCCTTTTCTGGGCAATAAGATCTGACACTTTTAAAAAGTCATTTGTAAACGTTCTCAGTCAGCATTTTCGCAAGTACACAAGGCTACAGCTATGCAGAGAAATGCCTTTCGTCATCAGTAGAACTTGTGCCAATTATTGCAAAATACTATAACAAATGATGTATTTGTCCATCAATCTTAAGTTATTACAAATACAGAGACAGCCAACACATGTTTAAGTTGTGTTGTAACGTTAAAAAAGGTATTTGCCAAAGGTCATTATCAGTATAGGAAACTGCTCTTGCTATAATAGAGACAGTTTTTCTTGTCAACAGTTCATGTTCACATTCAGGGTGAAAGTTGCACAAGACATTTTTTTAATTGGTTGAATGAACAACACATAACTCTCATTGTTAACATTAATAAACAAGGAAGAAACATTTTTATAGGAAAGGATAGAAAATAACTTCAATGAGGATTAAAAATCCATATAAATGTAAGTCAACAAGGACGCATTACCCAGTCTGCCATCACCTTTTATTCCAGGGTTCTCAGTATAAAACCTCATAAGCAGACAATTACGATTCTGTCAAACTTTTCCCCAAGGCAAGAACATAATGAAACTCCATTATGCTTTAATGAAATTTTAAAAAGCCATTTCACAAAACCTCTTTATACACTTCTTTATTTAAGCAGACATAATGGAGGTGGAAATCTATTCTCCATTATTCAAGCTAGAACGCATAACAGAGTTAGACAACAACATGTTGTTCAATCAGATAAAAGATGTTTCCCAATCAGAGCAATTAGAAGGACTGTCCAAGGTGCTGATAATGTGACTGTCAATCTACCTGCAGGCATGTAGGTTAGGGTTTCTTTTATGCAGCAGTACTCCCCTCTGAAGTTTGCCATCTCTTAATCTCGCCACCCAGGGCCGTCCCTCCCTACAGGCCGATCATGCAGACTGCGTGGGGCCTCATCTTGCGGAGGGTGCCTATTCAGTTATCTGGTACTTCTTCTGCAGCTGAAGTTGTTTATTGTTTTGCCAAGTCCTCCTCTTCTGCTCAGTCTACCTAGCCCTGCCAGAATAAACAAGCATCTATAGAGTGGAGGGATGACGTATTTACCCGGAAGTAAGCTGCACACGGGTTCCCTCGACAGAAAGCAATGGGATTTCTCCATAGGATTTTGGAAAATAGCTCGAAATAAGGTCTGTGGAAAAGGAACCTGTTAGATGAATGCATGTTTTGTTCAGCCGGATAATATCCACATGTCTACCCTACTTTTATCATTTTTGAGTCATAAATCTAATCCAGAAGCAAAATGCTAACGTTATACTATAAACAAACTACAGCAGGGTCGCTGCTTCAACGTCTCGCAAACTTAAGATCGATATTCAAAAATACAGATTCTAAATTGTACAAGTTGGAGCTTTTGGTTTAACAGTTTGCAAGAGCGCAGGTACTTGCTTTCAAGCAGAACAGGGGGAAAAAAACTTAGCGGGAGTGTTTCTAGGGATGCATATCATTGACTTTTTTACGACACAGATACCGATACCACTGAACGATACCGATACTCAACCGATACATATCGTGATACTTTGAAAATGTATCATCCCACAATTACTCCCATGAAGCGCTTTACGATATAGTTAACATGTCAAATGAATATTACATTC